GACGTTGAGGTAAGATCTTGGCCGCAGATGGAAATCGTTTCGTATAACACCTACTCGTAGTGCCTACCTCGCTAGGTATTATACTATTAAAATGAACGATTAAAAGAAAATATTACCTATCATCGTCACTGTTGGTCTTGTCTCCGTTTGAGAACAATAACAAGAACAAGAATAAATGAGGCAAAATGAAAACCATACAATAATGTTACACAAGTTTTCACGAGTCCGGAGAGTATAGGCGATATAATAAAAAAAATACTTAAATCTCTAAAAAATCGTGAATTAAAAATATTGGTCGGTTTATGACGTAAACTTACCATTCAAAAAAGTATTTATTTATTACACCCAAATCAATTACAATTAAATAATTACAATGAATTAAATTAATAGCTGATACGTATATGCAAACCGAGCTATAAGCTCGTAAATCCAATGCAATGATACGACTTACGACATTATAGTCGTCGTTCGTCGAATAGCGTTTCTAATATAATAAAATACGACGAGATTAAATTCTATTTCGACTGAATGGAAAAAAATAAAATAGGAACATGCTCGCGTATTTGCTCTAAAGACAAATAACTCGTACTTCGTAAAGTATTTGTGTTTCAGTTTTATAGGTACTTTATTTATTATATTGTATGTATATAGGTATATAATATACGCTTACACCTATGTCGTAAATACTGTTTTTGCAGCGTTTCCCGGCGATAACGCCAATCGTTTACGTTCTTTATGGAAAATTAACAAAATAATATTTCCCAATTTGTAGTGTATCAAACGCGTGTAATGGAACCCAGCGAATAATGTTTATACGACGTGCCTGGAAACGACGACCCTTCGGCTCCTTTACGACGTCGGATTTTCGTAAATGGGATGGAGTTATTTTATTGTTACCTAATCTTGTTGCCTTTGTGTTTGAACAGTCTTAGTCGGAAATGCGCCATTTCGGGGCGAACGACCGAATTTAAAGCGTACGGCAAAGGACCAAACGGTTATTTCTCGAACAGACGGTGAGCTCAAAATGTTCAAAATCCCCACCGAGTCCAAGACCTGGGCGGAACAAAAATAAAACGCCTTATACACTTGATTGGACTTTATAAAAATTCGGACATAATAATGTCATTAGGTACAATATTATATTATTGTACACTATAGTATAATATAACATAACCCACTTACGTCATAGGTATATATAATAATATAATATTATTATTTACGTACACTGTCACCACGAACAAATTGCCGGTAGCTCGTAATATAGTTATATCATTCGTATATATTATATAGAACGTACCAGCTACGTTATTTTTTATAGTCATTATGTGTCTGGCAACAGTCCTGCAGAATACAATTTCGTGATAATCGTCGGATTAATGATTTTTGGGCAGCACACAAAATATAACGTTATGTCGGTCGCGTGAAGACAAATAACGAATTTTGTCGCAGAAAAATATTACACACTTTCGTTTCACTACGCGTGTGTAGCGTGTAAGCGTTTTGTTATATTTTATTTAAATAAAAGGGACGGTGCCCGGGCAAAAGGTAACAAGTAAAAAAACACTGTTTTGAGAAAACTAAAAAAACCGTTCCTATATTAACCGTACAATGACTGATGACTTATTCCTTTTTTCTCATAAGTTTTATAAAAAAAATGAACCTACATTTTTTTTTTTTTTTTTAATGCGATGTAGATTATAATAATCTACAAGAATATTCAATAAAAAAAAAAAAAAAATTGTAAAAATGGACTTATTCCCTTTTGCTCGGACACAGTCCAATTTGAGGTTTTGTTCGATATTTGATTTGCCTATACATATTTTAAGTGTCCCTGCCCATTTACCTTATAGGTATGTAAGGTAGGTAATAGGTATACGTAATGATATAGTTTATGCGTTTTTAAATTAAACCGAGTACGTTATATTCCGGCGATTTGCATATTTCGAACATAATTTGTTTTTTAAACAAAATTTAGATTCTAAACAAGTTAGACAACAATTCAACATTGCATTATTCATTCGACGTTTTCCCGATAAATTACCGCGCACACGACTGTAATAGAATAATAATTCGATAATTTCAATCAAAATATTTAAATTATCGAGTAGGTATAAAATATATATTTTTAAATTATTGCACTCTCGGCGCGGCGGCGTTCCCGTTTCTTTGGCTCGCCGCACCGCTGTCCGACGACCATTATATATATATGTGTGTGTGTGTGTGTGTGTCTTAAGTATAGACGTACCTACGCCGAGTGTAACGATCGGACATCGAAAAAGCAGATGGAAGTGATACGATTTGTTTCTATTTCAAACCATATTACCGCTCCGCTCGGCCTTAATTTTGTATGACACTATGGAGGTATATATACCTAACCTATATAATACTCGACGTGGGGGAGCGTCGCGTCTCCCGGAAACTTTGCACTCAACACGCGTCGGCGGTGCGCGCAGTAAACCGTTTAAAAATACACCCGAGTAATATTAAACGAAAAAGGTACACGCCGATGACGACGACGACGACGACGACGAGGTTCCATTAGCCTAATGGTTCTCGTCACCGACGAAAACATATGTATTATTGTTATAAGCGCGCGTTAGGGGGGGGGGGGTGGCTGGTGGAGGGTGTGGTGGGTGTGGGGTGGATGCTGCCAGAGCGCTGTAAATTGACACATACTCCGGAAAAGTTTCGTCTCGAACGGCGTTTAATAATAAAGTGACGCGAGGAAACTCCGAGGGCGAAGCTGCAGGTAGCGGAGGACATGTGAGGTGGAGAGGGGGGGGGCGTTATTCTAGATTATATAGGTCTCTTAATCGCCGCCGAACGTTCCGTTTTGAGTGCCACCGCATTATTCGATTATCGCTACAAGTTTCTCGACGTGTTTACCACCTCATCTGTACATAGGGTTTACCTAATAGGAAACCGTTAACAGCCCACTCGCGAGTCGCGACCACTCGCGGTGTTGGTCAATACCTCCCTTACCGGATGTATAAAAGCCCCTAAGCCGGGCGCCGTGTGACGGTTATCCTCGTCGTCGTCGTCGTCGATGTCGTGGTTGTTGTTGTTGTCGCGATTGATGTTGTGTTGGTTTAGGTCGTGTTGTACGAGACGACGGCCACGTGGATCTTAGTGTGACATAATATGACTGTTAATGTGACCACGAAGACTAAGTTAAACCTATCTGAATCCGTCGAGAAATCGGGTCGGCAGTAAAAAAAAAAAAAAGTTATATAGTCAACCGATGGGATAGGACTTATAAATATATTATATTATAAATATTTTTTTTTTTTTGATTCGTTTGTTGTTAAAAAGGATATTACCAACTCATTTTGATAATATCTCAAATAATTTATCGTTCTACAAATTTCGTGTAACATGACGTTATTGCTGCAGTTAGTATTATTGTATTATTTATGTTTCGTTTGTATTTTTTTTTCATTTTATCCGTAAAGACAAAAGTAACAACGAAATAAATTTTGTTTCCGCTTTTTGTGTATAAAAAATAAGAACTACAAGACAAACTTATCATGCTCACATTAATGATGCTGTTTTTCCGGGAAATAATAGCATGCTGAAAATTTTTCGAGAGACGTATATTTCACTTTTATAATCGATTTAAAACTTAATAACGATGATGTAATTATAGGTATAGGTACCTTGAAAATGCTTTTTTTCCCTTCAAAATGACATTAATATTTATTCCTTGTAAAATATAATTGTATTTTGAGAAACTTGGCAAACACTTTAATATCCATATCATAAATGATTAAAATAAAATAAAATTAACGTATAAATTGAGCAATAATTTAACAACGACAACGAATGTTTGCAATAATTATGGTACTACGGTGTCATAAAATACAAAGAGTGTCTTCTATAATATAATAATATACACTTGGAAAAAAAAAACACTTTACACAGCAGTCCGTTCACCTAAATTACATGGATTTGAATCTCCAGTGACACATCAGTTAAAATGTTTCCGGTCATACTAAATAGGTATATTATATACATCAATGCAACAATATTATGTAATGTGCAGAGAGAATTGCATGAACAAAAGCAAACACGCATGTAACGATTGCACATTGTACTTTTATAGAAGTAGATAAGTAGGTAGGTACTTTGCGCTTTTAAGCTTTAAAATCACACCAACTTACGGTGATTATATAATACGCTCAGTTTGTGTTAGACAGTTACGATACACCCAACCTACTTGTTGGTCGTTTGAAAATAATAAATTATACATTTTAGAGAAGATCATACTTTTTCCGAATCGTTTGTTTTCGTTGTCGAACATTCACAACGCGCATGTTTACCTAATATTTTAAACCTTTGGCTTAAATACTTTTAAACGTATAGCCTAACGTATAGTATAGGTAGGTTCCTGCTATTATATATTATACGTGATGACTTTTTGAACGAAGATTCATAAGAGTTATTAATAACGTTCAAACATTATGTTTCGTGGCATTCGGATCAGTGACTGTGTTGGGTATTAAGATTTATATTTTTTGTTCGAAATAATATATCTCGAGATCACCCTCGTGCAGTGTCGGACACACGTCAATTAGCGTATCACACTGCAGCTCTGTACAGTTACAAATCAACGTTATATTAGACACACAAGTGTACTTTTGTACAGGATACCCGCGTGCAACGAAAGCGATTTGTCAGTCCTATTTTTATGCTCGAACCATTTGACTAAGTCGAAATAGCTTATTAGACCCGAGAGAATTAATCACATCAAACGAAAAGTAATTGAACGACGCGGTGCGCGGCCAACGCTCACTGATATATTTTTGTGAATAAATTAATTTCAAGACTAATATAAATTAAACATTCAGTTTCCATGTGAAATGCGCATCGTCGCAGTTGATTTTATTTTTTGTTATTTCCTCCTATTTTTTTTTTCCGTACTTATTTATTCAAGTGAATTATTATTGTCGTTGCTCTCGAGCCGGAATACCACACCGAAAACCGTAATTATTTAATCAACCATGACAAGTCGAAATGGCGACAGTCTGCCGCCGCCGACGCGTCGGCTGCGGGACAAGACAAATGTGCACTTAGGTTCTATGAGCGGAAACGACGCGATTCGATTTCGCAACCTACAACAATGGTACACGACGAGTGCCTTAGATGTAAAAAGAGATTTCCTCCGAAACGTATTGGACGTTTGCGGGGATCCGTTGTTTTTATTCGCTTTGCAAAAAATTTTCGACCGCAGGGCGTACTGCACCGGAGACATGATTGCTGCGAACAATATCGGCGAGTGAGTATATAATACAATATTGTATCATTATAAAATGCGTTCATGAATAACGTAAATGTAAAGTCAACTCGACCGCTCGATATACATAATATATTAGGTATATAGAGTGCATAATATTGCAATGTGTAGCTGCTGGTCTATTTGTAGATTGCTCGAATAATTTATATTTTTTTCTCCTACAATATTATTGTCGTAGTGGGCGCTCTGACGTGCGTCCGGCCGAAGACGAGGACCAGTCCTCCTCATTAGATCCGACCGCGTCGACGGACGACCACTCCGATTGGTTTGACGGATTGTCGAAACACGTTCGACTGGCAGCGTTTGTCAGTCCGTCGCTTGAGTTCAAAACCAGCCTGCTTCGCGAATATATTATTATAATGGAATTTATATTTTAGGACTCGCGATGTTGGGCGGAACGGGCGTTATGACTGAAATTCGCGATCACGTCGATCGTTTGATCAAGTCGAATGGAAATTTACCGAGTTTGCGAAACTCGAATGTCAAAAATACTTCCGGTAACGAATTTTAAAACCCTATAAAAACTAATGTTTGTTTCAAATGTTATGTTGTCTGGATTTTCGATCATATTATCGGCATGTGGTCTGAACAGCCTATATACTACACGATTTAGTTTATGATCTACGATTTATGTTATTAATATGATTATATTAATAATTGTCAATTTATCAAATTGAAAGTCTCCCACTCAACTGGTTGCATTACTCTCAAAGTGTACATTTTCCATACAAAACCTTATATAAAGTATAACTTTTGATAGGAAACGAAGTATGAAGTCGCTGGAAATTTCTAAAAATAATTAATAATAGACTGTTCGAGAAATATTTGTCGGAAATGCAGTGCAACACATTTATAGTTAAATGGAAATGAGCAAGGCGAATAATTCCGTAGAACTTCCATTTACGCTGTGAAATTTCAGTTGTAGTTCCTTGTATTTTAAACTAATTTGTTGACGATTGTATATTATTTTAGAACAGCAATATAATTAAAATATCTGAATTATAAATTTATAATTAAATAAAGAAATTTTCTTTGGAAAAGTCATCTTTCGTAGCAGGATAAAATATGCCGAAGACATATTGTTTTATACACCGTTCAGTTGACGTCGTAGTTACTTAGTTTTTAGTATAATAACTTATAACTTTTATTTAGATATATTTGGATATATATTGTAGGCTATTGTATTGTGCTGTCTATTTTAACCTAACCTAAACAAATACATTTTTTACCATTTAATACCAACTTATAAGAAAAATATGTTTATAACACCTGCTTTTAAAGTATAATATTACTTATTAGCTTGCCTAAAAGAATTATATTAAACATCGGACCTTTAATACAATAATACGTTTGTTTAGGTCTCTTATATATTATTTGATGGCTTAGGATATAATTTAACTAATAACTATATAATATAGTATAATTATTAAATTTACAACTATATTGTCTCACGTTAGGTTGTCCTAATAATCGTATCTAATACAAACGATGTTGAATATGGTTTAGATATGCAAAATTCAACTCTCACAATACTCGACGACTTACTACTATTGACGGACAGATTACCAGATTCCGAAGAAATACTATCAAAAACTAATTTAGGTGAGTTTAATATTACAGGTAATAGTCTCTATAAGATGTCTTGTTACGTAGTATGACGCACAACCCTCTCTCATCAGACAAAAATAAGGCCAAGATTACTGATGTGGTATATCGGGATTATATGGAACGCACAAACGAATGGAAAAACAAATTGGATTCATTCGAGCAGAAATACCACGCGATTCGTAGAACCACTGAACCCGACAGCGACTTGGTACGTATAGGGAAATCGAGAAAAATTGAGTATTAAGAGCACTTATATTGTACTCAGGCCCAAATGCTTCCCGTGGTTTGGCATGTTATTCCAGCTGGCGGGAAATTATTAAGCGATCCTAGTCGCAAAGAAACGAACGCAACCCCAACGTCAACAAACGGGTAAATAAATATTGCCTAATGTATTTTTTATTTTGCATTATTGATGTATCGATATATTTCCAATATGTTAATCGTCGGCTATTGTACCATAACTCTGTGGTCGCTCCAATACATAATATATAACTATATAGGTACGATAAACTAATAAAATATTTATACAACCAACCACTGACTATTGATCACTAATAATTTATTTATGTCCACTCACGTATAGACTTTTGTTCAATATTAATTTTGACTTATTTTATCTTGACTTCAGTTTTTACAGCAAACTATACTGACTTTACTTTGACAACCTGTAAGGCTAGTCGTATATATATATAAAAAAAAAAAAACCGAGGCAAACTAAATTTACGAGCAAGAGCCAAAAATATGAATAATATTAGATTTCTATGCTTTTGAAATTACCTATTTGTTTTGCATAAAAGTTTTATAAAGAACACCGTCGAAGTTTCGTGTATATACCTACTTGTCGGTGGAAATAAATTAATATTTACAACGCCAAAGTAAATTTATAATTAGTTGGTGAAACTGATACCACAAGCAAATATTATTTATGTTTAATGTAGTCTTTTGTACGTATGTCATTTCAACCTGCAATGACAGGAACCACGTCGAGAGTGTATACCTTGACAGAAAAGTTCCCCGAGACTTAACTCTATTTTTAACAAACCCTTTACTAGTGTTTAATGAGACTGTCACTTACAGGAATGCCGAACGTATAGTACCATTGAGTTCAAGTCATACATTGGCCTCTGTAACGGAGTACAAAAAAGCAAGAAATCTCATTGACCTGCAAATTGACAGACGTTTAAAAATAGTAATCGTTTAAAATCGCATTTTTAAAGTATATAAGCAAAATGAGCAAACCTTAAATCAGGTGTAAACGCCATACCGACTGTATAGAAATACATATATTTAAATAGTATATTTTATTCTTGATATTAGGTACTATAATATTTAAGTATAATTATTTTTGGATATTGTGTACAATGTCGTGACCGTTGTACTACTTCGTTATTATTTGTCGAGTGTAGTTTATATAGGTACTTTGCCCAGTTATGATTTTTATTTATTTATGAACAATATTTTTAATCCGATGTTGAAACAAAATAATATGCTATTTAATATAACGGGTGCAAAAAAAAGTATTTGAATAAAGATAATAAATTGTATTTTTATACATAACAATAAAAGAATAAATATGTAAACATTTATTGTCCTTCAGATATAATATGTAAAATCTAAGGATAATATATTTATTTCCTCGAAATTGGTTCGTTGAAACAAATGTCTTATCTTACTGCACTCTATTACTTAATTTCAACTAAATTTGCCGTTTGAACATTTTTATTCCAAGCTTTTTATCTAACTCGTTTGTTCTAAACAACAGACATTTTCAATTTTCTTTTATTATGTCTATCATACACTACAGTCCCTATTGTCATAACTAGTTTTAGTAAAATAATTAACTACACTACAAATTGTATTACAATAATCTTTGTTATTGTTTTCAGCAGAATAAGGGGCAGTTATATGACACAACTGAACTAGGTACCTATAAGAAAGCATTTATACTTAAAAAATATTTTCAAATAATAATTAACAGTATTCAATTGTCTTCTAATCCTATATAGACGACTGTGCCGATTTCGATCTCCATGCGGTGATACCATTTGATAATAATTGTCGGACTAAAAAGGATGATACTACTCATGTATTGAAACGAAAATGACGTGTGAATCATCGAATAAGGAGCAAGTTATCCAAAAAAATCCCAAAAAATCCCAAAAAAATCATATGGCTTCAGTGAATACAATCACTTAGAATTTAATTGATATACAATTTTAATATTATATTAAATGTGTAATTTCGAAAAAAAATACATATAACACTATTGTAAGTTACCGACTTATCTATAAAACTAGTTGAATCTTATAATTGTAATCAAATAGTTGAATATTATATCGACTATACAAAATTGATGTAAAAAGTAAGTTATTTGATCGGTGATGTGACCATTGCAGTATTAGTAATTACTACCTACTGTATAATAATATAATATAATATAGGCGGAACACGACTCAAAACGATTTTCTTGCATAAATCAACTGTGACTTATAAATCGTTAGTAACATAATATTATTATAATACGCATAGATTGCTGATTAATTATTACAATCAAGACGCGAGTGTAACGGATTACAAAAAAATAATAGTGACAAGACGAATTGTGTCCACTTCGTACTACACGTCGGTGGACCTTAGTCGGCACGTCAAGTCTATTAAAATAAAATATTGCAGTCAATAAGAGCCGCGCATAGATGCGAATCTATGATTGCGACTGGCGCCGACTAATTGTGTATAATAATAATGTTATTATACATTTTGTAAAAAAAAAAAAAAAAACCAATCTGCGTACTATAGCTCCGGTATCGATTGTATAAAATACGAATTAAAAATGTAATGTTACTTTTTTTTATTTTAACTGCTCGACGTGTGTCGACGGGAACATGTTAATTATTATCGTCGTTATTTAAGATTTCGATGAAGCGGCGATAGCGGCCAGCTGGACACGCCACTGAATTGACAACATTTACTCTTAAGCTTTAAGGGGATTCGATTCAGCGTATTTATTTCATGATTTAGACCTAAAAGCCTGACAAAAATACGCCTACTTAGAATTATCAGATTTCAATTCTGTAAAAAGATTCGAGTTCATTGACAATTTTCCTAGGTTATTGTGGGAATCAATTTTCGATATTTTTTTTAGAATTCACGTTAAATCATACTTCGATTTCTCAATTTTTTGAAAATTGTTTGTGTCTTTCTTTAAAAAGTTAAACAGTTATTCAAAAATCGACTCCCACAATAACCTAGAAAAAAGAACGATGAATTCAAATATGTTTACAGAACTAAAATCCGATCATTTTAAGTTATCGTATTTTTGTCAGGCTTTTAGGTCTCAATTGATTGAAATTAGTTTCTCGTTGGAACAAATATTTTATTATGTGACATGTGCATGCGGGTGCGAACCACTGATTCCTAACGTATCTACGCACACTAATGATCATTTACTTCGCACACAAACACACTGCGAAACGATTATAATACATCGAATTGCCTATACACGACCCCTTATTAAATCACCGGATCGAATCCCCTTAACAGATAACTATAATATTATTATATTATATAGGTACACGCACTGACGACGATTCGAGCAAGCATTGTTATACAGCAGTAATTGAGTCCTAGCAAACAGTACTATGATAATAAACCAACAAGAGTCCGCTCAATGAGCATTTCTGTTCTACTCCTATCGGGACTTGGTTTAAACACCGGAATTTGTTGTTGAAAATTGCAGAGTATTCAGTCGATAAATCGATTTCCTATTGTTATTTACCCGGGACATTTAATTTTGCAAACTCGCCCATTTGAATATGACAAAATAATTTTGTAACTTTCACGTCACGTTTCATTTGAGCGCACAAATTAATAAACCAATAACTATAAATTGAATTCTTCTTATAAAGCGTTATCACGTTTCTCGTCCCCAGTTTTTTCGTTTTCAAAATGACACTGAGCGCAATAACTAAACGTGTAAAAATGTCGAGACTGTTCGTTGCTTTTAATATTATTTTTTAGTAATTTTGTTTTTCACTAAAATATATTCTAAACGTAGTTGATAAAATTCCAACTACATATTATAATATTAATTTTTTTTTTTTTTTTTTAATTGAAATCGTGCCAAAATTTGTTAAATCTTAAACGATGATATTTAATAAATTATATGTATTTTTTTTTAACTATCGTAAATAAATTTAATAAGGTTTTACACAAAAACCGTAGAGGCGTAGACATACCTACATATTTTGTTTCGCGTGCCGTATAAAAATATATATAAATAATATGGAATATGCGAAATTAATAGACACTATTTATTACATTTCGTACTTTATGCAGGCACCACACGAGCTCGTCGATGACGCTTATAGGATTACACGATGTTCCCTAGATCTACGGTAACGTTTATTCCTTCCAATTTCGAATAAAGTCATAAAAAATATATAATATATAATAATATATTATATTATAAATATTATCCGTTTGACCGCGAAACCAGAATATCGCATGGAAAGTATCTCATATTATTATAATGCACGTCAAAATAAAATTATGTTAAACTGATGTTTTTTTTTTCAGACAATAATAAATAATATTATTATCGTGCGTGCGATTCGTCGAGACGTGGTTTTTAAACCTAGAGCAAAATTTGTACGATGATATTTTATCAGTTGATATTATTTATTCATTTATTTATTATTCATAAACGGGTATGATGCCCAATAATACGATTTAACACAAAATACATATTATATAGAGTTATAGACTTCGACAATAGACTTGACGATCAAAAAATAAAACAATTTATTATGCATCTATATATAGTTAACAAATACTATCGTGTTGTATATATACAATTCATATAATACCTAATTGTTTTATTACAAACCGAACAAATAGTAGGATTCTCATCGACCAGACGTATAATCCGATCAATTGGATTATTTTCATGATAACAATTATATAATTAGTGTTATATGAAAAGAAATGACAAAGATGAAAATATAATCCAGAGGGATGATAGCAGAAACTGAGTTGATCCGAGAAAGAATACAAAGAGGAACATCAATACGTAATAATACCAAGTCGGCCTCACTAACTATTTGCGAAGGAGCTAAGCAGATATAATATATTATATATAGGTAGGTAAAAACGTGCTGGGGATATATTTTAATATTGTTTCAATAAAATCGTCGAAATAAAAAAAAAAGCTACTCTGAACAGTCTTAGTTTAATATTTCCGTAAACGGATCCCAATAAGAACAGACACATATTATTATACAATATTATAATTATTATGTAATATAGAGTGACATTGTTATAAGATAGATTTGTCGTTTCTCAGCCCGAGGCCTATTACACGACGTGATATCGTTATTACACATTATTATTGGTATGATAACGATAATAATACTCGACTTGAATAGGTACCTACATTATAACCTGTCAAAGTCGAAAATTTTCGAAGATCGTCCAAAATCTTCAAAATCGGATGAGTTTCGTCTTCGCGGACGTTTATGATAATAATATTATTATTACAATAATATTATATCCAAATGTAACGCAATGTCATAACATCATGATATTATATAAAACTGTGGGACACAAAAACGGTTCGACGTTTTATTTATATATATTTAAAATAAAGTTGTTTTTTTTTTTTTTTTTAAATCCAAATCCCCTCGCTTTCCCGAGGGACCTGCCCGCGCGGCAAAACAAAAAACTGAACACAAAAAAACGAGGAATAACCGCATTCGATGTACACATACGTGTGTGCGTGTGTGTGCACTGTAGGCACATCTATATATTATTTATAAACGTATATAATATGTCCGTTCTACCTGAGTATATAATACGTAGGTATGTATATATTATACACGTGCGTACTAGTATTATAATATCGAAAGAGAGACGCATACATTATAATATACGTTTACGCGAATTAATTGCTATATACATATCCCAGACATCATTTGGCCAAACGGCACAATATATAATAATAATAATAATATAAATGTATATATATATGTGTGTGCTTACACATAATACAACAACGGATCGAGCGCGGCGTTTCACCTATTTTGCATATTATATACTGAATTAAAACCGATAAATTATACTCGGCATCGATGTTTTAATTATAATAACATTAATATGTGCAGCTGCAGTATAAGTGTAATAATAATAATAATAATAATATCCATACGATGTGTATAATATTATTATTATTCCAGTTGTATATCCCCGAGGAACCAGAAGATGCCGTCGTAGTCGCAGTGTGAAATATTTGAGCCCAGCCTATAAAAATTATTATATAAATGTCGTCAAAACCGAGTGGAAAAACGAAAGGGGAGAAACAAATTTTGGAGACCGTAGGCATTTTGTTTTAATTTTTTACCTCTATACATACCTACTTGTGTTGAATTTTGGCACAGCCCACCCCTGCCCACTCGCGTATAAGTCATCGTTTAGTCCCGAATATAATAAAAATCTGTAAACATAATACATATTATTATTATTATTACTATTATTAAATCGAAAAACACTATTACACAGTATTATATTTTATGACTTGTTTAAATTTCAAAAGACCGCTTATCCATCTCATTTGAGCGAGCATATTGTGATGGAGATTTAGATATAGAGTTAAGATATACAATTTAAACAACAATGATTTATTATGGTTTTAACATGATTTTACTGCATTCTGAGAGAGGGAAAAGAAATCAAAAGAGACAAAATAATAAACAATTATAATATTATCGAATAATGGGTTTTGCTCAGTGTGTTAACAATATATATATTAATCTCTACACCAGAAGAAGCTCTAACATAAGCTGAAATTCTACAAAATCATCCTCAGTCGACATCCAACAGCATCAAATTCATAAAGGCCGACAAATTCCAATCTAAAATCTGATATAAACCTCAACCTACAAAAAGCGAGTAGTGTATTCGATGTATGACATTTTTTCACTTTAAAGTTTAAGATTTTTAATAGTACACCCAAAAAAAAAAAAAAAAATACTTATGTTAATTTGTACAGGTATGTGCGCGATAGTGATATTATACTATTAGTTTATTTTCGGACGACGTCGCATCACATTA